CCAAAAATATCTTGATGGGTGTTTTACAAAGATGTGGTGGTAGTCATCTGCTGAGTGTTTGAACTTATTTGTTTGAATATCTGAGGTGAATAAAATTTCATATTTGAGTTTCGTCTTGCTTATAAGAAGTACTTGTGCATGGGTTGAATGTGTTTGAAACAATTTCTCTAGTCAAAATGGTATAACGATAAAGGTTTGTTTCCGCTAGTCTATTTTTTTCGAAGGTGTTATGTCTAGCTGAATGACTTCTGCATTTTTCCGTAGATATTGGAAATTGAAGTAACTGTCTACAGTGAGAAACATTTTTTTTTGTAAATATTTGAGTGTGTAAATTATAATTACACCTAAACACTATCTACAGTTTGTGATTATTCGAATGAAATTGTATATCCAATTTAATTAGTTAGTTATTCTCGTAATTATTTAAGTAACAGTTAATGAATGATGATAAAGTCAGACTCAAACAGCAGTACCCTTATTATTATTATTGTTTCCTTGCGTTCCAACAACACACCTCCTCTTTCTTTTGTTTTCTACCGTCCTCTTCATCTGGGCCCACGACTGACCATGATCTCTCATTTCCTCCTCGTCAAACGATCTTCTCCATGTCACCCTCGCACTGACGACCAACTCGTCGCTTCTGATTGATATTATGCTCGAGGGCCTGGCGTACAATGTCATTCGACGGTTTCCGGAATGTATGCCCTATCCATCCCCATTTTCTCCTGCATATTTGTTGAGCAATCGGTTCTTGGTTGCTTTTTTTCCCCACAGATTCTTGTTACTTATTCTTTCTGGCCAGCCATTTGATCTTCAGTATGGAGTCAGCAAAGACAGCTGTTGATGAAGTTCTGCAACCTGTTGAAAGTTCTTTTTGTGACACGCAGTGCACATTTCTGTTCCTTATATAAGGACCGACTTGACGTTGGGGTTGGAAATGCTAATCTTGTTCCTTATGCTGAGTGTACAAGATTCTTGGACTGTTTTCATATAGATGAAGGCTTATCTGGCCTTTCCGATTCTGGTCTGCTTTGACATCTTTATTCGTTCCCCCAGCTGTAGTTGAAACGATAAGTGAAGGAGGTAACCTCTGTTAAATCTTTCCCGTTGATGGTGATTAGTGCTGGTTGTTGTTGTTGTTCCTTAGTTAACTTCATCACCTGTAGTACTGTCTTCGTTGCCAGCCTGTCTCTTCAGCCAGTTTGTTCTTTTTCGCTTACAATTCTCCGAGTTAGTGTGACATTAGACATATATCACTCATGAAGTTCAAATCTTCTAGTGTCTTCTTATCGGTGGTTTAGCATACTCCTGTCTCTTCACTCCCCAGAGTCTCACGCATAATCCAGTCCACAGAAATTGGTAATATCATCAGCGATAATAAACAGTCATGTCATGTCATGTATGGTCTTACTCCTTATCATTAATCAGAAACTCTCCCAGCTGAATGAGATACGGAACCCATCTGCTCACAAGTTCATCATTTCACAACAGTTACTACATGTGATGCCCAGCTAGTTAGCACTTAGGACCCACTGCTCTGTTGATAGGACTCGTTTCAATCCTGTATCGACTCACTTCTCACCGTAACCTTACTTTTCACTGATTACGACAACAGTAATCTGTCAAATCAACGCCATCTCAGACATTGTCATCACCAATTGTTCATATGCTACATAAATTTCTGATGGGGATCGATTGAATGAGTTTTCGAAAAGTGACAGATCGTCAAAGCATAGTTTAAACTGTTTTACTTTCCTTCATAAGTTTATACAGAGGTTCGTAGTTTCACAATCAAGAAAATATGCAAGATAATGCAACAATACTATTGCATTTATTTGCTCAGTTAAAAGATTCCATCTGTGAAATCACTCTTCTTGAGTGATAAGCAAATAATTCAGTTGGATTCTAGACAAATTTAGTTTCCTTGATGATCGATATCAGTGAAAGTTATCTGAAAACAAAATACAACAAAAAGACAAGACAAATATCAACATTGTCCACTTCCGTTGTCATAATAATTTCTTGTCTCTGGTAAAATATTTTATCTTGCTATGAACATGTCAACTGTTCCGTGTTCACTGCCAATCCATACTTACGTCATATATAAAAATGTTGTCAGAAGAATGTATAGGATTATCACTCATTAACAAGTGCGAATTTTCATTTGCCCGTGATGACTTTCATCGATAAATATTCTAGATCTGATTAGAAGTAAAAGTCAGGCTTTCTCACCCCACCCCCGAAGCTAGTAAACTATCTGCCAAGTGTTTTATTTTTGTTGTTTTTCAATATGTTTACCCTATGAATATAAAATGTACAGCTCTTTTATTCCTGGATATATTTATATCATATACAGATTGTTTAATTATCATGAATACTTTTATTGGAATGTACTTTCAGCTGGTTTATAAATTTATGTATGACATTAGTGCGTCTCACTTCCTTCAACCATATCATTTTGTCGATTAGACGAAAAGTTATCCTTTGAAATCAGAAATTAAAGGAAATTAGCATAATTAAATGAAGTGTTATTCATTTCACTTCTAGACATATATTTCGCATAAGAATTATGAAAAGTACATCACCTGGAATTTTTCTTGTATATAGGAATATAATTTTTAGTATATATTTGTCATAAATTTCATGTAATCCTTTAAAAGCTTACTACAAATGAAGAACTACTTTACTGAAATGAGGAATGAAAATGAGTTAAATGTGACGGTGCTATTCACTTCTCTGCACGCCTAGTCATTGTTATTATTGTTTCCTTGGGTTCCTAGTGAAACATAGGGCTTCAGCTGCACGTCTCCACTTGCTTCTGTCTTCTACTGTGCTTTTCACCTGCATCCATGATAGTCCATACTCTTTCAACTCCTCCTCACACGATCTCCTCCATGTCACCCCTGCACTGAAGTCCCACTCGCCGCGTGCTTCCCTTTCGGCCTGGTTCCACTCGAGCAATGGCCTGACGCGCGCGCGATGTCACCCGGCGGTGGCCTCCTCAGCAAGTGTCTTATCCATCTCCATTTTCTCCTGCATATTTGTTGGGCGGTTGGTTCTTGTTTTGTTTGTTTGTTCCCATAGTTTCTTGTTGGTGATTCCTTCCGGCCCGGCCATCTGATCTTCAGTATAGAGCCAGCGAAGACAGTTGTTGATAAAGGTCTGGTCTGGAACAGGCTGGCTGTTGGAAATATTCTTTGTGACACGTCCGCCAAGTTTCTGATCCGTATAGAAGAACTGACTGACTTGACGCTGTTTGTATTGAAAATCCGACCGAATTTTGTTGTTGATGCTGGCTGAGTGACGAAGATTTCCAGATTGGTTTCAGGTTGATGAATGTGTTTCTCGACTTCCCGATTCTCGCTCGATTTGACATCGTCGTCCGTTCCAACTGCCTGTGGTTGAGACAGTTCTCCCTAGATAAAAGAGCGAATGAAGTCACCTCTTTCAAATCCCTCGCGTTGATGGTGATTGGCGCTGGATGTTACTGCTGTTGTTGTTGTTGGTTGGTTATTTTCATAACCTCCGTCTTGTCTATGTTCACCCGGAGTCTTGTATTTGCATAATCAGTGAAATGAAATTCAAATTAGTTGCTTTTGAAACTCCTCCAGCAGAAATTCTAGTCTATCTCTACTTACACTGTGATGGCGAATACATTTGCAGATGAAGCAGACGTTTTACTAGCCGGATTAATTATCAATAAAGTCCGATGATATATACAGGGATAGCAGTTTTAATCTGTAACATTTAAGTAAATGATGTAGTTAGCTAGTGCACAACATTAGTGTGAGAAATGTCTGGGCCCTTGAAATCTCAGCAATTCTTTAATTTCAGCTCTCTAGCAAAAATGAATCTGCTGCTTTACATTTATTTAAATTGATTTTCATACGGTATAGAAATTAAGTGTGCCAGTTGAGAAAAAGCACGTTCATCGTTCATGAAAATCAAAACACCACTCAAATTTATCAAACAGCTCATTTTCATTAGTCGAATAAGTAGACACATTATTATTTTATTGCTTTCATTAAAGAATGATTTGCTATTTATATCCTTCAGAAACAACAGCCTTCGTGTCGTAAGCTAAGATTCTAAAAATATATGCTAAGGAGAATTTTATCGCACAGTTAAAAGAAAACCTTTATCATTAGAGATGCTGATTAGAGGGGAACATGCTGAAGATACTACTGTACCACAACCACTTCAGCCGGTTACAAAAAACTGACAAGAAATATCTCCACAGACCAGAATCTTTGATGCATTGGGGCAGAGGGAATCAGTGAAGACACTAATCTATGCAACTTACATGATAACATCGATCATAACCTTACACTCTCCAACTATTCATTTGATGTCGTTCACGAAGTCCAATCTAATTCAGGGAATGTTGTGTACTTTTCCTACACTGAATCACTGTAGTATGACATCATAGCAATAAAAACAAAAAATAGATTATAGGAATTATTTGAACGTTACTCTTAAATGGTAGTGGTTGATGTTATAATAGGTGAAAATCTGTGATAATCAGACTATTATCGAGAGAAACTGTGAAATTCATGTTATTCTTAAAAAAGAGGTTTTCTCGAATACATTTCTCTGTTGGAAGGTACTGTTTCTCAGTAATTCGCAGCTTCCATAACAACATTTAGATAACAGCAGATAGGAACCTAATTATCTACTTTATGTAATTTGATTCTTATGGAAATTGCCCTTTAAGAATTCTGAAGTTCAGAATAGAAAACATTTAACTGCTATGTAAACGAATAAACGTCTCCACTCAAGTTCTTCGTTGTTTTGAGTTGTCATATTGTCAGTTATGCTCTGTTCATGATATGCATTTTAGGCCTTAAAATACTACTTATTTCAAAATGAACAAGCAGCATATACGTCCCGTCATTTGATTTCTTTCTTCGCATTTTGCTGTACTGAATTACATTCCTTTTTGTATTTATTGATTTTATTAACGAAATAGCTGACATTATTTTCTCATTATTTTTCGACAGGGTAATTTCCTAATAGAATTTGCACTTATATATGAACCAAACATTGTGTTGCCAACTGCTTTCAGTGTAAACCTTCAACGCCAAACATCAGGAAAGACAAAAGGTATCGTTTATGCTTATTATCGATTTGGGAGAGAAGCAACGGTATATAAAACTGCAACTCAATTAGTAAATTTGATTACGTCATTTATTCCCTCAGTGAAAAAATACCTGGAAGGTGTTGAAAAGCAGGTAACTTTTTTAAAAGTATCTTTGTTATTATGTTCGAAAACAATAAGAGCGACACAACTACTAACTGGATTATTTTACTGATTTTTTTTGGCTTAAAACCCTTAACTCAACATACTCATAATTATGCAGAGTCTAAAATGAGATCGTTTAGAATAGTAGGGCTTTATCACATGAGCTTAAGCTGTACATAACTTATGAGTATCCTACAAATAATTAGCTTTCACATCCTAGAGTATGGGTTCATTTTTTTCGATAAGAAATAAAAGGAATTCATTATTTTGCATGTGAAATCCCTATGAAGATGGATTGTGTGTCCTGGTTAAACGCAAAGAATATAGGGAATTACTTGATTTCTTCAACTTGATTCCTTCTACTATTATTGATTCAGGATCTGTTATTCTCTACAACCTACCATTTATTTAAGCTCCTCGTATTGCTGAATAAATGTGAGAGAAACTAAGGCGTTCACTTTTGTCGCGGATTCTGTGTTTTCTAGGCATGTTGTTTTCATAACACATCTGAATTTGAAGCGAAGAAGCAAACATTCTTAAACGGTTTTCCAGAAAATGAAAAAAAAATATCCTTGTAACCTTCTGCTGTTTAAACTCCACAAAATGTTTCGCTTTTGATGACCAAATTTCAGTATTTACTTGGTAAAGAACTATGAACATTATTATCACTAATTTGAATATAAGTCTGAAGTTTAAGTTACAAATTGGATTTTCTAACAAAAAAGGCCCTAATAACCTTAGGGTACTGATTACCATTCACTGTTCAGAGCTTGATTGTTAACTTGTTGAAGAAGTAATATCATGCCTGCAAAAAGTGGTATCAAGTTGTGCAACTACAAGCAGTAGCTCCAAGAGACTATAGAGATTTTAGCAATTTTGAAATAATAGAGAAGATTTGTAGCTCAGGTGGATAATTTGCAATAAATAGTGTTCTCTGAGCTGGTTGGTTTAGTTGCGAAGCTTTCGTCGTCTCCCCTGCAGGACAACATCTTCAGCGCAATATTTAGGATAAAGTGAAATAAGTGATTCAAATTTCTTCATGTGTGATATAATTGCGTCACCCGGTAACCATCTTTACATATGTATTCACCATTTTCTACTGACTTCGATTTTAAACTTTGTGGTCACCTGATTTACTTTTCATTAGTTGATATATTTCGTCCATATTAACGTGTTTGTTAATTGCATATTCGCTTGAGTACCAGGCTTCTAGGAATTCCCTGACTGCACTTTTGGTGTTTCCTCTGTTTAAGATTTTGACATTATCCTAAACAAATTGATGTCCATAATTGTCTATATGCGTAGATACTAAAGGATATATCGTGTCCTCATAGTTTAATAGCAGTAAGATGATGTTCGAGAGAATGACTGTTTTCAATAACAATTATGTATTCTAATATTCATGATCTTGTAGCTGTAAAGCCTGAAAAAGTTATTGAAAACAACTTTTAGCTTAAGAGGATTTATTCTACATACAGTAAAATATACTGTGAAAAAAGCAAGTCAGTTATTTGCCGTTGATTTAGACATTTCTAAAGTGGGTTAGATGCAGTCATAATCCCAAGGCACTACATTACTCCACTTTCAGCGTAAATTTGTAATCTGATATGTTTTCGTAATACACCAATAATTCTGCCAGGTACAAGAGAAATAGCTAGTTACCTTAGTAGTAAAAAAGGTATATTTTTTTCATTGATAAATTAGCATTTGTATCATAAATACGCTGTCATTGAAGAGGACAAGAAGACCTGTTAATCAGATAAACATTTGTTAAAGAAACAAACACTCACTGTTCTCCTCAGAATTACAAGTAAACTTTTATAAGCACTCAAAGCCTATTCCGTTGCCTGCACTACAATCCATGGTGAAGTGTATTTATCTAATTCTCGAATAAAGTAAACAGAAAAATTCTAAAAGTTATCATTATTAAACGTTTTCACTGAAATTTTATTGAAAGCGTAGCAAAACTTTACAGAATAACTGGCATAATGATCTCATATAACAGACTGGTAAAAACTTTTTTTTTTGTTGAATAACGAAAAAAGCTGTATGTATTAAATTGACGTTTAAGGACAAGGTGTTGATAATACTGTCGGCCAAATACCCTTAGGAATTAGTGCTACTGAATTGGTTGCATGAATAATAATTGTTGATTTAACTTTTTATTCTTTTTCCTAACTTTAATTCATGAGTCTTTCTTTTTTACAGTGACCTTCGTTGTAATTATACGTATCCTGCTGAGTCGATCCCTATACATGACTCTAGGTTTTTTGACTGAGTTATTGCCAGTCTTCTTAAATTTAGAATTAACTAGATACTATTGAATTACTCAAGACTTTTCCAACGTGGCCATTCTAAACTTTTCAGCAACTAAACAACTAATAAGACGTATTAGAGATAGTCCAAATTAGATTTTTTTTGTATTTATTAAGTCTGAAACTGTAAACGCTAAAATTGAAGCAAGAGAAAGTATCAATGAAAACTGACCAGTATTGGGTCCAAATAACTAATACCAGGAGAAAGATTTTATCAGGTTTGGGCCTTCGTAAAATTTTCATAGGATTACGACTAAGATTATATAACCCAGATTTTTATCCTAACATAATGTCTCTCGTTTGTCAACAGGTTACATACATGGGATCTTTCACCTTTCGATTATAAAATGCAGTTGTCCACAACTATTCACCTCTAAGATACAAAGTTTGTCTAACTTTGAATTAAAATGATATAAGTTAGGGGATTTCATCATGAGCTGACATGAGTTAGAGAACCATTGGAAAACCTGAGAGTAGGGTGTAGCAGGTTGAAGGTGAGGCAGTAACTCATAGAAGACATTGTGAAGTGGTTGCTCTATTTCATGAATTGGCAGAAGTTGGAATTCATGCACTGGTCATCTCATTAGGTCCCAGTGGCTTAATGCTCCACGAGCCAACTCACCTTGTAACAAGAAGGTCCTGGTTTCGAACTCTGGCAGTGGGTGTGTACTGATGAGGAGTCCCAAAATGGGCTGGTGAAACAGCTGTCCAGTACTTCCTACAGGTTTTCCGGTGGTTTTCTAACTGATTTCAGCTCATGATGAAATCCAGTAACCAATCAGTCAAAATCCCTATAGACCAATACTTGAAAATGATATTAGGCTGCAACACATTCATGTGTACGTAATGTACTGTCCATTTCTTCAAAGGATAGTGTAACTTGCAGTTTTGTTTCAACTAATCTCTGCTGAATCTACCACAATATCAGAAATAAGATGAAAGTGTCTTATATGCTGAGTGACGTTTCGTTTATAATTATAACATATCATATCAAAACTTGATATGATTACGAACAATCGATTGTGTTCTAAACGTCAACCAGTAGATCATACTGTTTCATTGTGTTATATATCCAATAAAAAAATCAATATGGAATTACACACTGTCACAGCATCCAAGTATTATATATAATTGAAGATGAAACCATTGTTTAAAAACTTCTTATTACAGATATTCTTTTTGCAGATAAATTCAGGGAACGATGCAAGATTATAGTATTACAGCTGAGTTAAGTCAGATAAAAGCGCCTTTCTTTCTTGAAAGTAAAATAAATTTGTTTCCCCTTCCGTTTCTGGTAGGCTTATTAATTAACATCACTTTCTGCGCTATCTAATTTCACTTTATAGTTTGAAAGTTCAATACATTCTGAAGTGTCACTAGAATCATGTGACGATGAACGGAAAAAAAACATCTAGTTTTCCAGTAATCGAACTTACAGAAACGCAAATTTAGGTTCTAGCTTGAAAATCAAAAAATTATATTATTTGACTGAGAACTGTGACAATTGTTTCTTCGTTTGTTAGATGGCGATAATCACTTACTTTTGGTTAAATTGTAGCATACATTTTTATCTATGATTGCCTCTAAATAACAGTAGTCAAAAACTAAATTATCGCAGATGTTTGCAGCATGGTGCCAATATGTTTTCTAAATAACATCTTTGGTACCCGAAGTAATATGAACTAAATGACTGAGGATAACTATGCTTAGAGAGCAGACTAAATTCATTAGACGGAATAATTTTGAGTGTATTGCATTTTGTCATCGTGAAATCACATTTTCGATGAACTCTTGAAAGTGGGTAAAAAACTGCGTTGTAGGCTTCGTTTTTCATGTAAACCATAACAAGTGCGGTGTTGTAAGTAATCTAATGCTTCAGGAATCGTCAATATGAGTTAACAAATATCCAATTAATTTTGCTGAGATTATGTTTATTAAAATACCGTGCATTTTCATAACATTAAGTGCTATTTCTTTCATCAGCAATTCTGCTCAATGATTGACAATATGATATGATTGTTTAAATTCTCATTAACGAAAAGAGACCTGTATTTCACGAAAATAAAAAGAGATTAAGACAAATTATCTTTATTGTCTAACAGCTGACAACATATGAATGACTGACACGCAGGTAAGTAATTTGATGGAATTCAAAACTAAAGCACAATGAATAAAGAAAACTGAATTATCAATGAATACCAGGCTTACGTGTAGACCGAAGTCTACTGCTTTCTTAGACAATCTTTCCAGTTTATTTCAAAGAATTTAATTTCCAATAGGAAGTATCATTCATACGAAACTCCATATTTTGACAGATTCCTTGAGCTTTCCTTCTAGCCTCAATCACTAGACCAGTATGAATTAACCAATTCTATTTTGGTATGAAATATTGGGAGATGCTGGCGGCTTCATAGGCGAGTATTTAGATAACTAAAAGAATTTTTAAATATCGTGAACTGAATTTCTGCTCGGACACTGTTCATAATCACAGGCTGCTGATTTCACAATATTGCCGTTAAACATATAATAGTCAGCTGCAGTGTGTTTCAGGATTGTTAAGATTAGTAGAACTTGAAATCATGGTTGACTTCAGCTACCTCTTTCAAGATTCTGTGTTAAAACAGCTAGAATATCACAAAGGTAGAAATTTATTTAAGGCTGTTGTCATTCTGAT